TGATTGTTTTTAATGTTCAGTACTATATATACTAATTTTTTATAATATTAGATGTGTTTTAAGGTGTATCAGCTCTTCAAGCATTACTTCATTTGTAATAACCAGTATATATACGATATTTTTTTTTTTTTTTTTTTGTCTTCTAAGGCTATGTGTAAGGAATACTTATAACATTACAATTGTTTCTGAGTGTAATACTCCTCAAAACATGGAAATTAGTAATATTGACTGACTATACTAGGTTATATATATGGTATATACATGTATATACTTTATAATTATTTTATTTTTTTACTATTTTGGTCTTCTAAGGCTATGTATAATGAATAATTATAATACTGCAATTATTTTAGAATGTATTATTCATCAAAACATGGAAATTATTCACATTGTTTGACTTTATTGAGTTATCCTAGTGAGCTTTGTGGCTGCATTCCAGTTAGTATCATGAAACTGTTATAAATTTGGAATGAATAAGTCATCTCTGAGCCACTTGCACACCCTGTTTACTGGTAGGGAAGCTAGTGGTTCCCTTGTTGACTTTTGATAGTGAGGTGTACTAGTACATCGGGCATACAGTCATCTTCTGAGTAGTTAACTATGATACACTGTGTGAACCCTGCTGATCTTAGATTTTTTCAAATGTATAAAAAGATGGAAGAAGACCCAAAGAGTTGCCCTGAGGTATAAAAAATATTGGCAGGTGGCAGATTTATGGCTACGAAAAATGGTGCACACTAGTACATCAGACACAGTTCCAGCACCTGCGTACTAATATGTCGGACACAGTTAAAGGGTTAAATTAAGTTTTCATCTCATATCTGGTAGTGGCATGTCCTTTTTTCACCCTGCAAGATGGTGGAAAAAGAGACCACAAATCCAACATTGCATATTCCAGGGATAGATTTTCAAACTGCAAATGCTCATGTCTTGCAAATTTCAACAGTCTGGGTTCTTGTTACACCAAGTTTAAATTTAGAGACATAAATAACAAAATACAGAATGCTTCATACAATTAAATAATATTAATTAAACAAATAAATAAATATATATATATTGAAAAAAAAATATATATATATATATACACACACACACACACACACACACATTTTGAAGGGAAAATTTTTTCCTGGGTAAGTAATGGGAGGGGAGTGAAGGTTTTTGAGGGCTAGGGGTATCAGCATCCAGCAGGCTTTTGTGAGCATGTTAGGTCAGACTGAGTGCAAACAATTGTTTCTTATGGCTTGACCAGCTGTTGGAGTGTGAGAAGAATAACACTTATAAAAGAATTTAGGGAAACATGTTAGCCAGACTTGAATCACGGTGGTAGGAAGTACTGTATCTGCACTCTGCAGGAAGGGTGAGGATGTTGTAGATTGGAGGGTCATTTCAATTGTGATGTCTGTGAACTTTTGGCAAGACAGTTATTGAGTGAATGATGGTGAATGCATTTCTTCTTCTTTTAGTCACAGTGGGAAATAGCCAGTGCTAAAATGTATTATATTCATGGGGGAGCACTAAACCAAAAAGTCATACAGCACTTGTGACATGGAAAGCTATCAGATTTAGAAAGAGAGCTGATCCAAATCCATGGATCAAGACCCCTTCAGGAGATATAATTTTACATTATCTGTGGATTTTAGATTCATTCGATCTCTTGAAGGCTGACAGTACATGAAGCTAGATTGTCTTGATGAAACACAATACGAGTGAGATAAGACTATATAATATAGCTGGCACTTGTACTATCTGGCTCTGGGCATCAGAAGTATCGGTAATTTTGCACTTTTATCATACCTACCTAATGCTTCAGCAGGGTTGGCTTTAGGGGCAAACCAATATGACATTTGCTCAGGACACCAAAGTTTAGGGGCACCAAATTTAAAAAAAAAAAAAAAAAAAGGGCAACATACAAAAGATAAAATATATCACTATCAATCAAAAAGGAACAAGTGATTTGATCTGGATGAAATAATCCAAAGATTTACAGTTCCTAAGGAACAAAAAAGATAAACTTCAAAGTTAAAGTTTTAACAACTACGTGTGCTATTAACCCTTTCACTGTCTCATTCATAGATCTACGTAATTAGCATCAGGGTCGCTTATGTAGAACTACATTTTGAGCTCAGCTCCCATTGCAATAAATGTGTGCAGTTTAAAAAAAAAATCCTGCCCCATGCAGTGCATGATGGGAAAAACAAAGCTTTGACCTCGTATTTGGCTCAGAAGAGCAACTTTGAGGTTTTCTAGAATGGTTTTCATGGTTTTATTGGCTGTTTCTTGGTATCATTTGATAGAATGGAAGATATACTATTGAAATAGAGATGATTTAGGTTGGTTTTAGGACAGGTAAGGCCTCAAACACCTCCCAGTCTGTTCTGTGCTCTGCTAGATCTCATTCAATTATTGTGACAACAAAATCCACGACCAATCATGCCTGGTTATATTTTACTACCGGAGAAATAGGGTAAATCTACAGTTTTTTTGTGTGATGATTAATTAAAAACAGAGGGCAAGTGTAATATAAGAAAGGTCTCATAACATGATTAATGAGCAGAAAAAACATTGCTTTAGTGCCTGAAATGTCTACACTGTTTATTTTGGACTCATGAATTTTGGGTAAAATTGGCCAAATCATCAACTTCTGTGCACTTTATAAAGTGGCTCTGCTAGTTGACTGGGCACTTTCTTGTGCTCAGTTTGACCAAATTCTTAGCGAAGCTTCTAAGAATTTGGTCAAAGTGAGGAATGGATATGGCTTAAAATAGGACTCAAAATGGGAAAAGTCATCATTGCATAAACTGCTCCTGAACCACTAACTTTGTGCCTTCCATCAATTTCACATTTTTTAGTGTCATTACCTTTAGAAGAGATTCTCTACCATTTCAGATTTTTTTTTTAAATGCTGCCAATGTGAGTACTTAAAATTTGGGGGCTTCAGGATTGGTGCCGTACTACTACGGCTTGCACGCCAGGATTGGTGCCATACTAGTACGCATAAACTCTAGAGCCTTCAAATCTAGTGAGAGAAAGCTGGTAGGCCTACATATCAGAGAATGGGTCTATGTGGTCAGTGTGGGCAGTATAAAAAAAATCCTGCAGCATACAGTGCATAATGAGAAAAAAAACTCTGACCAAATTTTTGGTTTAAAACAGCGACTTTGCAGTGTATTTTCGTATGCTATTTATGGTTGTATTCTAGTTTTCCTGGTCTCATTTTATAGAATGGAAAACATATTACAGAAATTGAGATGATTCTGATTGGTTTCACAAAGAAAAGGACCTTGACATTGAGCTCAATGTAGCAGAAATGTTTGATTTCTGCCAAGTTCAAAAGTAAACAAATCATGCCATGCATCCAATACACGTCAACTGGTGAGTCTAATATTCTTTCACAAGTGCGCTGATATTATTTATACCATTTCTACACTAATGCAGTAGACTGCATAAAAGTAAATCTTTCTATTTTTTGTGAGAATAAAAATTCAGTGGAAAGCAAAAGAAATGTAAAAGAGGCTTGGGGATGTGACTAATGAACAGAGGAGATGTTATTTTAGTGCCAGGAATGTCTCTCTTGTTTATTCTGGACCCTATTTGGAAATTGGCATCTTTTGAAATTTGTGTGAAATTGGCAAAATTGCCACTTTCTGACCAATTTATTGGATAGTTGAAATCAGTAAATGGGTAGTTTCTTGTACTCATTTGATAGAAAAAATGGAGTTCTAGCGAAATAGTTATGATTTTTGTCGACTGGTACATCAGAATTGGCCAAAAATAGGGCTCAAAGTGGGCGAAATCGCCAATGCGTAAACATCGTTGAGACCACTAACTTCGCGAGAGCATAATTCCGTAAGTTTTCCATCAAATTTCTTACTTTTGGTGCCATTATGATTGGGAAAAGATTCTCTATCATTTCACGATTCAAAAAATTTCCAACCCTGAGAACAAGTTTAGGAGAGGGCCTGCCAACCCTGAAAGGGTTAATGCTACTCATTTATTGGCTTTATTTTAATCAATATACCGAACTAAATAAAATATAATTATACATAAAAAACAAGTTCACTGTTTAAATAAAAAAATAGGGTAGGGCAAGCACCAAAAGATGACTTTGAGCTGGCCCTGTCACTTGGCATAATCACCTGATGAAGATTTACATTCCTGAGAAGTCATTTTACTGCAATAAGTCAGCAAGTGGCCAGGTGACCTTCCTTGCACTTCCCTGCATTAGTATTTGGCCAGAATTCTGAGCTGTACATACCGTATTGTTAAATTTTCTTGCATTAGAGATGACATTTAAACATAAAGCCAAGATAGCCTAGTCACAATGTGATTTTAGATCATTAATTTTTGTTCTACAGGTACTAGACTGTTTTGTACTATACAGAAACCTTCAACAACACAATCACTGAAGCGAGCCACCAAAGATTACAATTCAATAGTCAATTAGCCAAGTTATGACACAACACTCACTGAGACAAGCCACTGAGGCTTACCATGCAATGGTCATTGAGATGAACCACTGAAGGTTATGATACAAGAAGTCACCGAAGGTTACAACACCACAAGACGTTGAGCCAGGTCACTGAAAGTTGACACACATCACATCAAGGTAAGCCACTGAGAACAACTACACAAGTCCAACCAAGCCAAGTCACTGAAAATTATGACACAACAAGTCACAATGAGCCAAACTACTACAGATTATGACATAACCACTGAGCCAAGCCAACAAGGTTTTCAGTACTGCATCACCAAATGCTTAATAGCTCAGGGATACAAGAATCTGCAGAAGAAAGCAAAATCCTGTTTCTTCTCTGCTGCCCCAGAACCATGCAACAGCTATTTTACAACATTCCTGCTGTTTTCTACCAAGGCACAGTGACCCGTAGATGGAAAAGCAATCACCATCACTCAATTAGTCGCTGTCTTGCCAGAAGTGCAGTATTAACACTGTGGCTCTTCATAAACATCTCGATATTGAGGTGGACATGCAAACTCACCATTTGCAGGGCTTCCTGGTGCTCCATGTTAGCAGCACTTTCTTCGTACTGCAACAGCAGTTCTTCCCTTCGTTGCAGAGCGTAGGCATTCTCAAACACACTGTGCATGGCTCGCCTGGCATCACTCATCAACTGCTGAGGATAATGTTGCTTCTTAGCGTATTACATTTGCACATAAATATAGTAAACCCTCGATTTAATGGACCTTGATTTAACACACTTCAAAAATACGGGTCAGGATCTGTTGTATCTAGAGATTTAAAGACAAAATTCATTGGTTACAGAATTGTTCGTTTTTATTACAAAGCAATGTAATCTCATCTCTGTCCACTACAACTGCCATTACTGATCATCCGTTCATCCCTCCTCCACCAAATTAGTCCATTAAATCAAGTCATTGCTGAATTATATCAGCAAAATATCAAACAATTTACAAGAAAAAAAAAGGTCTGTCACTGCATTAAAGGTCAAGATAACTAAAAACTTTAAGCACTAAATAATCAAGTTCAAAAAAAGTCTCAAAGAAAAACTTGCAGAGAAAAAACTTAACAGAAGTAAACACTGGACTTAGTAAGAGCATACTCCATTCAAATGGCATGCCTTAATGCCATTGGAAAAGCACTTGTTCCAAGGAATTACAGTTATCCTCCCCTTCGGATCAAACCAGATTAAACCCTCCCTCCTCCTCCCAGCACTTTATGACCCTTGCTTCCCAATGATGGCGATAATGATAATTATGATAATTATGATAATAGAGTGGGAGAGGCACTGTCAAGAAATTTTAATGAAAATAAGAAAAAATTTTGGAGTGAGTTAAACAAGTTAAGAAAGCCTAGGGAAAATATGGATTTGTCAGTTAAAAACAGAGTAGGGGAGTTAGTAGATGGGGAGATGGAGGTATTGGGTAGATGGCAAGAATATTTTGAGGAACTTTTAAATGTTAAGGAAGAAACAGAGGCAGTAATTTCATGCACTGGTCAGGGAGGTATACCATCTTTTAGGAGTGAAGAAGGGCAGAATGTAAGTGTGGGGGAGGTACGTGAGGCATTACGTAAAATGAAAGGGGGTAAAGCAGCTGGAACTGATGGGATCATGACAGAAATGTTAAAAGAAGGGGGGGATATAGTGTTGGAGTGGTTGGTACTTTTGTTTAATAAATGTATGAAAGAGGGGAAAGTACCTAGGGATTGGCGGAGAGCATGTATAGTCCCTTTATATAAAGGGAAAGGGGACAAAAGAGACTGTAAAAATTATAGAGGAATAAGCTTACTGAGTATACCAGGAAAAGTGTACGGTAGGGTTATAATTGAAAGAATTAGAGGTAAGACAGAATGTAGGATTGCGGATGAACAAGGAGGTTTCAGAGTGGGTAGGGGATGTGTAGATCAAGTGTTTACATTGAAGCATATATGTGAACAGTATTTAGATAAAGGTAGGGAAGTTTTTATTGCATTTATGGATTTAGAAAAGGCATATGATAGAGTGGATAGAGGAGCAATGTGGCAGATGTTGCAAGTATATGGAATAGGTGGTAAGTTATTAAATGCTGTAAAGAGTTTTTATGAGGATAGTGAGGCTCAGGTTAGGGTGTGTAGAAGAGAGGGAGACTACTTCCCGGTAAAAGTAGGTCTTAGACAGGGATGTGTAATGTCACCATGGTTGTTTAATATATTTATAGATGGGGTTGTAAAGGAAGTAAATGCTAGGGTGTTCGGGAGAGGGGTGGGATTAAATTTTGGGGAATCAAATTCAAAATGGGAATTGACACAGTTACTTTTTGCTGATGATACTGTGCTTATGGGAGATTCTAAAGAAAAATTGCAAAGGTTAGTGGATGAGTTTGGGAATGTGTGTAAAGGTAGAAAGTTGAAAGTGAACACAGAAAAGAGAAAGGTGATGAGGGTGTCAAATGATTTAGATAAAGAAAAATTGGATATCAAATTGGGGAGGAGGAGTATGGAAGAAGTGAATGTTTTCAGATACTTGGGAGTTGACGTGTCGGCGGATGGATTTATGAAGGATGAGGTTAATCATAGAATTGATGAGGGAAAAAAGGTGAGTGGTGCGTTGAGGTATATGTGGAGTCAAAAAACGTTATTTATGGAGGCAAAGAAGGGAATGTATGAAAGTACAGTAGTACCAACACTCTTATATGGGTGTGAAGCTTGGGTGGTAAATGCAGCAGCGGGGAGACGGTTGGAGGCAGTGGAGATGTCCTGTTTAAGGGCAATGTGTGGTGTAAATATTATGCAGAAAATTCGGAGTGTGGAAATTAGGAGAAGGTGTGGAGTTAATAAAAGTATTAGTCAGAGGCAGAAGAGGGGTTGTTGAGGTGGTTTGGTCTTTTAGAGAGAATGGATCAAAGTAGAATGACATGGAAAGCATATAAATCTATAGGGGAAGGAAGGCGGGGTAGGGGTCGTCCTCGAAAGGGTTGGAGAGAGGGGGTAAAGGAAGTTTTGTGGGCAAGGGGCTTGGACTTCCAGCAAGCGTGCGTGAGCGTGTTAGATAGGAGTGAATGGAGACGAATGGTACTTGGGACCTGACGATCTGTTGGAGTGTGAGCAGGGTAATATTTAGTGAAGGGATTCAGGGAAACCGGTTATTTTCATATAGTCGGACTTGAGTCCTGGAAATGGGAAGTACAATGCCTGCACTTTAAAGGAGTGGTTTGGGATATTGGCAGTTTGGAGGGATATGTTGTGTATCTTTATATGTGTATGCTTCTAGACTGTTGTATTCTGAGCACCTCTGCAAAAACAGTGATAATGTGCGAGTGTGGTGAAAGTGTTGAATGATGGTGAAAGTATTTTCTTTTTGGGGATTTTCTTTCTTTTTTGGGTCACCCTGCCTCGGTGGGAGACGGCCGACTTGTTGAAAAAAAAAAATAAATAAATAATAATAATAATAATAATAATAATAATAATAATAATAATAATAATAATGCATACTTCCTGTAAGCCAGAGGGTCCAGGTTCAGCATCATCTTTCATCGGGTCGTGTGGATGCTGAGGTTGTGGAGGAGCGGAGGAGCTAGCCTGAATGCTGGAGTATGTGTCAGATTGTTCTTCACTTTTGTCTACACTGGACTGATTACCCTGTGAGTCTGTAGCTGAACTACGGTAGCAGGTAATTCCATACTCAGAAAATACTGCTGGATACTCCTCCTCAAACAGCATCTCATCCTTCACCTCACATTCATCAACTAAACCCTTGAAGAAAGAGAAAAGTGACTCATTATAAAAGAATCAAAAATAAAATTCAATATAAAGGAGAATCGGAAAGTAATTATTATGAAACAGAAACAGAAATCATGAGCACTAGAAATATTTCCATACATGTTTCATACATCAGTTTTAAAATACAGGTTCATGACATGAACGTATTCTTCTGTAAACGCTCTAAAATGTCATATTTTACACCTCGCCTCACCCACTCCCTCCTCTATTCACTAATTTTGGGGATGACCTTAATTCTTTGTATGTTGTCTTTGGCATTTAGTTTACTTTTTCACATACTTAAATAAAAGACTTGACTCCATCTTATTCTTGTCTCATTTCTCTTTCGTACATTTGTTTATTCACTTCTGGTTTGTTTATATTACTGATAAGTCTGGTTTAACTCACATTTTATGCTGTATTATTTTAAAAACCTTTTTTTCATAACTCCTTAGCACCTTCCATTAAATCTTGTAATATTATATTACATTCCATTAAAAAACTGCCGTAAAGCATTATACATTGGACCCCCGGTTAACGAACTTTTTTCATTCCAGTAGTATGTTCAGGTGCCAGTACTGACCGAATTTTTTCCCATAAGGAATATTGTGAAGTAGATTAGTCCATTTCAGACCCCCAAACATACATGTACAAACGCACTTACATAAATACACTTACATAATTGGTCGCATTTGGAGGTGATCGTTAAGCGGGGGTCCACTGTATTATATACAGTGGAACATTAATATTCGTACACCCCTATATTTGTACAACTTGATATTTGCCCAACTTTTTCAAGAAAAATTTAACTTGGTATTTGTACATTGCCCTGACATTCGACCTAAACAAAATGGTCTATCTCGATGAAGTCCAATGAAAACAAAGCATCACGTGCTCAGTCTCTCGTCAGCTTTCGTTCACTAAGCATCATTTGTACAAGCTCCGTGAAACTTTTTGGTATTTCATTGCTATTCTGTGTTTTTTAAATATTTTAATTGAAAATAAGTAATCATGCCCCCCCCCCCAAAAAAAAAAGAGTAGTGATCGAAACAAGCCTAAAATGAAAGCTGCGAGAACAACAATTAAAGTGAAAAAAGAACTCACTGCAAAGTGGGACATGTGTGTCAGACTTAACCATTCAATTTGGTATGGTGAAATCCATGATATCATCCATATTGAAAAATAGAGGCAATAAAAGGGGCTGATGTGATGAAAGTGAAAATTCTTGCTGTGAAAAGGTCACAGATAATTGAAGAAATGGAAAAACTTTTGTTAGTGTGGATTAATGAAAAACAACTTGGCCGGTGACAGTGTTTCTGAAACAATAATTTGTGAAAAAGCAAAGCAGATATATATAGTGATCTTAGGTGAGACACCCTGGAAAACAGTGCTGAGAGTGATCAATTTAAGGCAAGTAGGGGCTGGTTTGATTCATAGTGTAGTAAGGCATGGGGAGGCTGCCAGTGATGAGGCTGAAAAGTTTGTTAAGGAATTTAAAACCTATGTAGACATTGAGGGATTTATTCCTTAACAAGTTTTTAATTGTGATGAAACTGGCCTCTTCTAGAAAAGAATGCCTAAGAGAACCTACATCACACAAGATTAAAAATCATTACCAGGACACAAATCTATGAAAGACAGGCTAACACTCTTGTTGTGTGGTAATGCTATTGGGGACTGCAAAATTAAACCATTGCTAGTGTACCACTCTGAAAATCCAAGGGTGTTTTAAATACCTTACCACCCTTTATATACAAAAAAGTGTCACAAGTGCTATCACCAATCATTGCAACACTCTTTAACAAATCCATTGAATCCTCCACCTTCCCTACAGTACTCAAAATAGCAAGGGTCACCCCGATCCACAAAGGAGGAGACCAAACAGAGTTGAATAACTATAGGCCAATATCCAACTTACACCCTCTCTCAAAAATCTTCGAAAAATTAATTCATAAACGAATCTACTCCTACCTTATCTCCCAAAACATACTCAACCCCTGCCAATTTGGATTCAGGCCTAATAAAAATACTAATGATGCTATTATACACATGCTAGAACATATATACACTGCAATAGAGAAAAAAGAAGTCCCACTGGGGATCTTCATTGACTTACGTAAAGCTTTTGATACAGTTGACCATGACTTGCTCCACGTAAAATTATCACACTATGGTATAAGAGGGCACTCCCTCAACTACCTCAAGTCATACCTCAGCAACAGAAGCCAATATGTGTACGCAAATGGGGCAAACTCTTCTGCACAACCAATTACAGTTGGTGTCCCACAGGGAAGTGTCCTTGGCCCTCTTCTCTTTCTCCTATACATAAATGACCTACCAAATGCTTCTCAATTACTCAAACCCACACTATTTGCTGATGACACAACATACGTCTTCCCCCACCCGAGCCCAGTCACGCTAGCCAATACTGTAAATACCGAATTACAGAAAATATCTACCTGGATGAGTACTAACAAACTTACACTAAACATTGACAAAACCTACTTCATTCAGTTTGGTAACAGAGCTACAGATGTCCCTCTTAACATAATGATAAACGGATCACCTATCACAAAGCTAACAGAGGGAAAATTCTTAGGAATCCACCTTGATAATAGACTCAAATTTCATACACATATACAACAAATTTCTAAGAAAATTTCCAAGACTGTAGGCATACTATCGAAGATACGGTACTATGCTCCACAGTCAGCCCTCCTGGCCCTATATCACTCTCTTATTTCCCCCTATCTCACCTATGGAATTTGTGCATGGGGCTCAACAACAAGTAACCATCTCAGACCACTAATTACCCAACAAAAGGCTGCAGTTAGAATGATAACAAATTCTCACTACAGGCAGCACACTCCACCAATATTCAATACACTCAACCTACTCACCATACAAAACATCCATACTTATTACTGCACCTATTACATACATAGAACACTCAACTCTGATATTAACCCTCCCCTCAAACATCTCCTTGCCAACCTCAACAGAACACATGACCATAACACAAGGCACAGATCACTCTTTGATATTCCTCGTGTCCATCTCACGCTATGCAAAAACTCAATGCACATAAAAGGCCCTAAAATCTGGAATTCATTACCTGTTAATATAAAAGAAACACTACCTGTTTATAAATTCAAGTCTCTTCTCAAAGATCACTTACTCACCCAAAACCAAATAAATACTGAATAACTGAACCTTATAAATTGTATATCTTAAATGTTTCTCACAATTATATCACATAAATGTTAAACCTAAAACCCAATCTAACTTTATTATTTTTTAAATTCACTACCTAACAGAATACTCCATTCTACTGAATTTACAACAATGCATGCAACCATATGACCTGTCTTTGTAATACTCACTTGTGCTTTATAGTAATCAGTTTACATTAATGTTTTTCACTGATTTCATCATTGCTTAGTTAATCTTAAGTTAATTTTAAGCCAGCCCGTAATGCTATGCATAGTATAAGTGGCTTTGGCATGCTGCTCTTATCTGTATTTTTTTTTTGTACCTCTGTAAGTGTGCTCAAATTATAAATAAATAAATAAATAAATAAATAAATAAACAGTAAACTCAGAGTAATGTGGAGGGCTAATAGTAAAGCTTGGGTAACAAGACAGTTCTTCACTGAGTGGATATATGAAGTGTTTGCCCCAAGTGTGAAGCAGTAACTCGCAGAAAAAACTTAACATTAAGGGCACTTATGGTAATGAACAATGCTTGTGCTCACCCTCCAGGCTTAGAGGAAAATTTAGTGGATGAATACAGCTTCATTTAAGTGAGGTTCTAGCCTCATATCACAGCTCTTATCCAACCCATGGACCAGCAGGTAATTTCCAATTTTAAGGAAACTTTACACAAAAAACACTTTAAAAGATGCTTTGAATTGACCTCTGAAATAGAGCTAACTCTTAGGGAATTTTGGTAAAAACCATTTTAATATCCTCTAGTGTTTATGGATAACAGACAAAGCCTGGGGGAAAGTATCTTTCAGGACAATGAGCTCTGCCTGGAAGAAACTGTAGCCAGACTGTGTCAGAGATTTTGAAGGCTTTGAGGCAGAGCCTGTAGTGAAGGATATTGTTTCTCTGGGCCAGTCCATGCATTTAGAAATGGACAATGAGGATATAGAAGAGTTGGTGAAGGATCACAAGAATAAGCTCACTACAGAAGAACTTCAAGACCTGCACAAGGAGCGGCAAGAAGTGGTTGAGGAAATCTTTTCATCAGATGAGGGAAGCAGTAAGGGCAGCATTTCAAATGGTGGAAAAATGGCATCTTAACATTACTGTTGTGAATAGGAGTATCAACCTGTTCAATAACAATGTTGTTGATCACTTTAGAAAAATTTTAAAATGTTGTCAAAAGAAGACAATATTTGACAGCTTCTTTAGCAAAGAAAAAATCAAATGCTAGCGAATCCCCATCATCTTCAAGTGCTACTGCACAGAGACAGAAGAGAGAAAAAACACCTGACTGGCAGTTACCTGATGTATTTATAGAAGGTAACAACCTTTCTGAACAGTAACATCTCTCCACCTACCTCTTAGGCCATCAGAACTCCTCAGTAAAGTGCAGTTAAATTTTCATTTATTTCATATATTTATTGTTTTTATAGTTTTCATATATGATTTTATTCATGCAAATTTTATACAGGTTTAAATAAATAATATTTTCACTTAAAATATTTTATAATTGGTAATTTTTTAGGGTCTGGAATGGATTAATCCAATTTACATTATTTCTTATGGGAAAAATCGATTCAATATTCATACAACTCAATACTCAAACAGACTCCTGAAAGGGATTAAGTTCAGATATTGAGGTACCACTGTACAGCCTCTCCTCACTTAGTGACGTACTCGTTTACCAACGACTCGGACTTACGATGGGCTCTCTGACCAGTATGCATACCTAAATAATGTATATTAGAACTGATTTCCTCTATTCTGTTTATTACAATATACAGT